ACAGTTTTACGTAATCACTTATATCATATTAATTATATATTATTTCCATGTATTTACTTATATTGAATTCACGTATCTTATATTACATGTTCCTATAATCACTTATGAAATCATGTATTCAAACATTCATGTATAACGTTATGCTTGCATCACAAATCAAATAATATTTTAGGAGTCACTTCTTACCATAGTAACTCTGTCATTGGCCCATCGCAAGCCAATGTTTGTTCGATAACATAAGTATAATTAAATTGCACTCACATTGACACTTTATAAAATCCAAATCCACTTCTATGATTTATCTCTTTGGATTGATACTAACTTTGCAGTCATTTCAGAACTTGCTTGTGCTCAATATCTATACAATCATACATATAATATCTATATCAGCATTCCAAATATTATGATTCAGTCCTTCATCTCTTAGACTAAAAGAAAGATATAATTTCCATTTCCCTTTTTAGTGTATCGATACACTACTTATGTATCGGTACACAAATTACAATTGAAAACTTTCAATTCAAGGGTGTATTGATACTATCCTTAGTGTATCGGTACACTAACTATGTGAATGTTGCACTTAAATCACCAATCTTTTCAAACTTCCAAAATGGTCATATTTCACATCTAAATGCTCATTTTAATTCCAAAACAATAATTTCCAGCATAGTACATCAACTATTAAACAATTATACAATCATTCATAACTTTTCCAAAATTATAGAATTGGTCCTCTAACTTTTCAAAATTTGCAAAATAGTCCCCAAATTTTCTAAGGCTTGTAGAATACTTCCTACATCATTTCTAGACCTTATATAATTTTTCCATAATTTTTCTCACTCAAATTCATCATGTTCAAATTTTCAAAGAATAATTTCTATAAAGATTGAACATGTTTTAACCATAACTCAAGCTTGAAAATGAATTTATAACCTCTAAATCATCAAGATTTATCATCAATTTCATGAATCCTATCATGAACATAAATCCTTATATTTGGGATCTTTGAAATCCAGCAAGATTAGAAAGAAATATTGGTACCAAATGATAGCGTTTTTCGCGTAGATCACTTTCCTATTTCACGACATAACTCGAATTCCAAAGAAATTAGCTCAAAAATTGAAACAAAATTTATTTCTTACCTTGGGAGGAGCTCACGTTTGCTGATGGAGAAGATGAAAAAATCATATGATATTTATTCATCTTTCTTAATTAAATATTGAATATAAAATTCATTAAATGTCAAATTACTACTTTACCCTTGAAATCAAAATATCTATACTAATTTACCCTTAATGAACTTGATATTTACATTAATACCAAGCTACATTAACCTTGTCATATTCCACAGTCAAATATGTACAAAATATTTTCCCACTTTACCATTTTGCCCTTGCAATTTTCAAAACTTACAATTCTGTCACTTTAATCCAACAGTCCAAATTAAATATGAAATTAAATCCTTAAATATTATTTTCCAACATTTAAAAATGTGAAAATAATATATTTATTTCCTTATTTTCGAAACCAAATGTAACTTTTCCAAATTACCATTTTGATCCCTAAACTTTTCTAAAGTTTATAATTTGGTCACCAAACTTTACAAAATCTTATAATTTGGTCACTAACTAAATCCATTTATGGAATAAATTCTTTTTGGGAAAAATACCACTTATGTCTTTAAAATTTTCCCAAATTTTCTACTTTGACCGTCAAACTTTCAAAATTTGCATTTTGGTCACTAGTCCACTTTTTGAGATGTTACATGTGAAGAATTACGTAGTCATTGTTTGAAAGAATATTTTTGTAGATTTAAGAAAGTTTTAAAAATTAGATATTTTTCAAAGAACATATGCCAATTTAAAAGACCTTATCAAAACGACCTTTCTTATTTTCAGTGATATATCATCTCATATATGATCTTTTTGACCACATTTAATGTTCTTTCTTCTTTTCAGTAATATATCAACTCATATATGACGTTTTTGACCATTTTTAATGAAAAACGTCCTTTTTATTTTAGTGACCATTGAATGAAAAATCAGACCCTATCATAATAATTCAAAATGAAAAATTATATTTTCAGTTATATATCACTTCATTTTTGAATTTGTTTGGTACTATATTTTATAATTAATTAGACCCTATCGTAATAATTCAAAATAAAACAGAATCTTTTCAGTTATATATCAACTTATTTCTAAACTTGTTGACCATATTTAAGAATTAAATATATTCTATCATAATAATATTCGAGGGAGACATTCGACTTTTTGACTTGATGATGAAAATTTCAAACAAGGTTGGAGCTAATGAAGATTCAACATTTTCTTTACTATAGTTGAGGTTTCCAACTTCTTTGGTTCCACATCATTCATCAATGGGCTATATGAATAATAATTTTGTAGTGTGAACAATGATTGATACATACATTACCAATTCTATGAGTAATGTTGACATATTTGTTGAGTCTCATAATTAAGTCGCAACTCCTTTCACATCAAAAACAAAATCTCAAGACGCATCTAATAATATAGAAGTTGAACTTCAAGAACTTGAACTATTTATATATAGAAGGAAACAAGAGAAAGTATGGATTGAAGAACTTTATGATGATTTAGCTGACTATGTAGATTAAGATGTGGAGGTAACAACTTAATGTTTCTATTGTAATGTAATGTAGGAGATAATGTTTCTAATGTAATGTTTGAGTTAATGCTTCTAATGTAAAATTTAGTGGTTTGTTGCATTATGCCTTTTTTATAAATAAAAAAAATAGGAGTTAATGATTATACTTTAATGTAGGGGTTAATTGAAGAATTTTACTTAAAATTTAGTAGCTTGTTGCATTATGCTTTTTTTAATGGGTAATATTTTTAGAGAACTTATACGAACTCGTTATGTCGACATGACGAGTTCTATGGTTTTTTAAAAATAATTATTTTGTATTAGTTTATATATATATATATTAATAAAACTCGTCAAGTGGGCATGGTGATTCGAGTAGGGATGGCAAACGGGAGAGGTAGGTGCAGATACCCCTTCCCTCATCCTTATATCTACATAATATTTTCGTATTCACCACCTACCCACCACTCACGATGGGTAAATTTTTTAAATCTACACCTGCCTATGCGGGTAAATTCTCAAATCAACATCCGCCCACGCGGATCCTGTGATCATTGACAAAATGACACATGCCAATTTAATTTTGTTTTAGAAAAATAAAACTCATTTCTCCCTTATTTTGACAAAAACATATAACACATACTTACACTGATATAAGTATGTGTTAATTGCTACACTTTTTTATTTTATTTACTTACATCGGTATAAGTATGTATTATATGTTTTTGTCAAAATAAGAAGGAAATGAATTTTGTTTTTTTAAATAAAAATTGAAAAAAAATATTTTTATAAAGTGTCACGTATCATTTTGTCAGTGGTCATAGGGTTCCACGTCACTTTGCATGACAAAAATGAGTGAACCCGTTAACGACAGAAAACACTATGTATGAAATCGAGAATTTTAAAACATTATATATGAAACTGAGAATTTGATATACTTCTACAACCACAGTCAACCATCACCCACTTATGGTGCATTAACACTTCTACCAATCATAATATAAATGTTTAAATTTAATGATTTAAAAGTTTTTTGCATCCATACATCATTAGTTTGAGGTATACATTTTTTAATTGTATAACTTAATTAATTATACAAATAAAATAAAAATACCATATCATTTTAAATGATTTATGTGACAGTTTTTAATAAATCTTGAATATAAGACTAGAATTTGTCCTCCGCCTACTGTATAAAACTAGAATGAATATCTTAATCAAATTCGGGAATTCATACTAAACCCTATCTAATGATAGCAAGCAGGGATAGAAGCGTAAATTACAAAGAGTACTAATGATGTGATTACATCGGCAAAGATTCAATTAGGGATGGCAAACGGGTGGGTCGGGTGCGGATACCCCCTTCCCCATCCCATACCCACCTAATATTTTTCAATCTACCACCCGCTCACCACCCATGATGGGTACAAATTTTCAAATCCACACCCACCTACGCGGGTACATTTTCAAATCCATCCCCACACCCACTACCCACTAGCGACATACCCATCTAGACCCGCCTGACAACAAACTAATGGGATGTTGGAGTTGGTTCCCAGACAGTTCGTGATGCGGTAGCAGCGTATGCTTCAATTTTTCAAAGGAGTAGCTCTACGAATGTTATGGAGACAGATTGTAGGGAGCATGTAGTCGTAGAGCTGGATTATTGTGTTGCTTTCGATGTTAATGCTCATAGTGCGCCTAATATGGGTTTCTAAAGAACATGAAAACTGCTACTTTTGATGTTAATGCTTATAGTATGGCTAATTTGTGTTTGGATGGACAGCATGGGCTAAAAAACATGAAAAATGACGTGGTTAGTGGTATTATGGGTTTAATCAAAGAGCTGAATATTTCCCTAATTAAAGACCAGATTAAAGACTAAATATCTTTAATATTTGGATAAATTATATGTTATATATTATACAATATTAAAATTTATAAATTAGTCTCTAAAACTACACCTAAATTCATAATGGTCCAAAATTTAATAGATATTTAGCTGGGTGGGCGGATGTGGGGCGGGCGGATGCGGGGCGGGTAATGTCTCAAACCCATTACCCGCCCACCACCCACGACGGGTACCACTTTATAAATCCACACCCGCCCACTATCCGTTAAAATTATACCCATCCCCGCTCCAATTAAAACAGATGCGGTGCGAAATCTACAAAACTATACCCGTTTACCATCGCTAGATTCAATGCGGTAGGGTCCAGAGAGAGACATGCATTTTATAATTATCCGGGGGGGGGACCTCTTAAAAGAAAGATTCTCTTATCTTTTGGGCTACGGCATCGCTCATTCTTTCATCTGATACCTCACCTTGTCGGTTATTTGCTTACTCTCCCCTCATTTCCTTCCATCCTCTTTTTTTTTAGCTTCTTCGTTTAATTTTCTGATTTAGATCTTTAAAAAAAGTTTCAAGTTTCTAAGATTATCGTGATTCTCGACAGGCTAGACGCGATCAAAACCGATCTTCGATTCTTGATTCTTGATCTGTATAGTTGTTGTGCCTGTTTCGGAAACATTTGATTCTGGTGTGGATCTTTTATCTATCGATTTTTACTTTAATCGATTCTTTAATTTTAATTACTTTTAAATTATAGGATCATTTCATCGTGTTTAATATAAGAAGAATATTGATTTTTTAAGTTTCTAAATTGGTTGTTCAATTGGAAAATCATAACAAAAAAATAAACTGTACATTTCCGTTTTAATATTTTCTCCTGAGAATATTACAATATGGAGTATGTAATTTATTTGTCTTTATCGTGGGGTAGGTTGTGAAAGAGGAAAGATGGTTTCGTTGCAAGGACCGGTGATTTGCCCTGCCGTTCGGAGCAAGCAATTTGGGTTTAATACGCCTCTGGCAAATGTTCTTTTCCCGAGAGCTAGATCGCATAGAAGTGATATATGGGGATGTAGAGGGATAATTGATGGAAAGAATAAATCGCGTGCTTTATTTCGCCAACTCAAATTACGCAAGCGCAGGACCACGGTGCAGTGCAATTTCAGCTCCTCTTCAGATGGGAATGGAAGCACGGCCGAGAATTTCAATGAAAATGATGAAGATTACGTTGAATCCTGTGTGCTGGAAGCTGGTATGTGGATGCTAAATCAGTGACTGCTTCATTATTGTATTGTTTTCATAATTCTTTTTTGTTGTTGCCTTTTAATTGTATATAAGCTGGAATCTATTTATATAGATTGTTAATATGTGGACAATTAACTGAAGTATTTCGTAATTATTTGATATAGTTGAGGTGAGGAGTGGAGCTGATGGATTTATGGTCAAAATGAGGGACGGCAGGCATTTAAGATGCGTCCATAACAATCCTCAAGGCGGGCATTTGCAGGATTATGCACCGCACCCTGCCATCGTTCTGAAGATGGAAGATGGGACTGGTCTTCTTCTTCCAATCATTGTTTGTATGTGATCTTACATGCTCCATAATTTGACTCTATTTATTAATTTTTCGGTTCATTTTGAATTGAGTTGTGGTTTTTATTGCAGTGGAGATGCCAAGTGTGTTGCTAATGGCAGCAGTGCGCAATGTCCAAATTGTATGTTATTGTTTTCTCTTTTCCATTGAGTCAGGGTTTTTTTTTCTTGCCATTTTCGATATATTGAATTTGGTGGGTACTTACTTTGTAGCGAATGTGAATGCTAATATATGATTTTGCCGTTGGCTCCAGGCTAGACCTACTATGTATCAAGTAGTGAAGGACATGATTGACAAGATGGGCTACCAAGTATGATTCCTTTTCTTCTTCCATCTCCATCATTTCAATATGTCTTTAATCCTTAGAGACGTGGCTTCTGAATTGGTGATGTTCTATCTTGCTATTCTCAGGTAAAGCTTGTCAGAGTTACTAAAAGAGTGCATGAGGCCTACTTTTCTCAGTTGTACCTCACAAAGGTATATACCTTCTTCAAGATTAAACTTCGTTCTCTTTCACTCCTTTCGCCTTTTAGTGCATTTGTCTGATTGTAACTCTGGGATGTAAATATTCATGTAGAGTTGTCTTCATTGACTATGTGCATGTTCTAACAGGTGGGTGATGAGTCAGAGCCTGTCATTTTTGACCTTAGGCCTTCTGATGCCATCAACATTGCTGTGAGATGCAAGGTATCCTTTATGTTTCTCTAGTTTGATTTTTTTTTTTGGGGGGGGGGATAATACAACTTTTTATCGAAGACCTTGATAACTTTTACCAACTTGCTCCTGAACTTGACAACTATTTTTCGTTAATTTTGATGATGTGACACAATTTAGAGTGTCATGTTATCAAAATGACCAAAAGTTCTAGCTCAAGGAACAAGCGCATATTAAAAAAAAGTTTAGGGATCGACTTGGGAAATTTTTTTAGTTCAAGAACTGAAAGGTGACACACCACAATCTTGGCGTCACATCATCAAAATGACAAAAAATGCAGTTAAAGGACATGCACAAAAAAGAAGTTCAGGGATCAAGTTGGGAAAAGTTGTCAATTTCAAGGGCTAAAAGTTAGTTTATCCTTCTTTTTACCGATAGTCATTGGAGCATTTGACTTGTAGCAGTGATGTACTATAAGTCAAACTTTTTTATAATTGTATCTTCTGGGTTCATCAAGTGCTACTTCTATTGTGAGGTCTTAGATGGATGCTTTAGATGCCCTTATTGAAGCAAATTAACATATTTAACGGGCAATTGTTTTGACACGTCTTTAAAATCTTGCTAGATAATATCTTCTAAAAGCTAAATGGCAGATTAACATATTTAACGACGGATTGTTTTGACACGAGCCTTTAAAATCTTGCTAGATAATATCTTCTAAAAGCTAAATAGCAGATTAACATATTTAACGACGGATTGTTTTGACAGTCTTTAAAATCATGCTAGATAGTATCTTCTAACAGCTAAAATGTACAAATGATTTGCAATGCTGATTGATAATTTCAAAGACTCGGGGTTGAGGAGAAAGAATACTGATCTGAGATATGGATTTGAATTGTCTCCATTGTCTATGCTAGTTTAATGATTAAGGATATCTATGAATAGATTGGGACATTGTTAAAATTTCCTTCCCCTTTATGTACTGTATAACGTTGAAAAGTGGTAGACATCCTGGAAAATTGACTTATTGTTGATTGATATGATGGCAGAAATGCTGTATCCTTTATAGAGAAGCATTCTGTGGCTGTCAATGGCTCTATGCTTTTGCTATGACCTTACATTGGTTCTGTATTTCTTTTTGGTTTTTAGGCCACCTAAACTAGTTTGGTTTTGTGAGCTTTGGTTTCAATATAAACTTTCATATTACCACTTCTTGTTTTTACATTCTGTGTGATTAAATTAAGATATGGTCTAATTATAAATTTTCATATACATATTTTTCTGTTTCACTTGCTGAGCTGATTTAATTCCTACCAAAATTTGAAAGTTTTTCAGACAAAATGACACTGGAAGCCTACCTGATGTGCTGTGCAGGTTTCTATACAAGTGAATAAGTACTTGGCATACAGTGATGGGATGCGAGTGATTGAATCAGGGAAGCCATCAGTGCTGTCTCCAGCTTCAGATGGGTTATTATTCACTGAACAGGACCGGTTAGTCTTGAAACCCCTTCGGAGATAATTTTTGCTTTTCCTTAGAGAATTGGACATGTTAACACTTGCAGGAGATTCTTGTTTTGAATATGTGAGAATCTGGAATGCTACATGCTTTGATTTATGGTTTCAGGCCAAGTGGTCAGCTTTGTCTCGATACAGAGGAATTTAATATGGTCTGCAACTTAAATGAGGCTATCACTCAGGAACGCTACAAGGATGCTGGTACTCTTCCCCTCACTCACATCATCCATGAATCCCCGACCTAGAGGTTTTTTTGGTTGCTCGTCTCACTGATATTATCCGTGCTACCTGAGATTATTTGATGATTTGCTGTCTGATATAGGCAGCAATGCATAGCCTGTCTTTTATTCGAAGAGTAACTCCATATTTTAATTTTTCTTTTGATCCATGGTGAAGTAAATTTTATTTGTTGGCTGTAGTAAAATAACGTCAAGGGCAAGATCTTAAGATCATTGGGTATATTTGATGCAATGCGTAGTGAACTATAACTGTAGCATGACCACTATCGTCTCTGGTCTGCATGATTTATTTTTCATGTGAATAACTTAATGATTTTGGTCAGCCGACTTGAGAGACAAACTTCGTAAGTTCCAGGCTCAAAGGAAGCTGAGGAAACATACATAACAGGTGATATATACTAAACCCAAAATAGGGTGCACCCTGAAGGTGCAATTGTGATCCAGACTGGCTTGCATCGTCCCTTTTTCCTGATCCGACTTGGAGCAGACGGTAAACAAGTTTTTTTTTTCAGTTGTCCTTGGTGACTTCAATATCAAAGGGAGTTATTGTTGGAACTTGGAAGGTGATAAACTAGATAGTTGGAGACTACACACGACAGTAACAGTTGTTTCTTTCATCTTGTACCAAATATAAATGTACAAGTGAAGTCTGTGAATATATATATATATATATATATATATATGTACAGTACAAACGCAGTTTAGTATTGGTGATATAATATAAGCACCTTTGTTTATGCTTATCAATTGATAATTGAGCTGCTTATTACGGACAGATTGGTAATTTGCGTATTTGTATTTCGGTTTCGGTTGTATGTTGTGTTTTTGGTTTTAAATAGTTTAACACGTTATATATGGGAAAATGGCTGAGATAATGTCTATGACTGTTTGGCATCTTTAGGCCAAAAGATGTGTGGAGTGCACGTCTTCAGCCCATGTAGAAGCCCTCGGAAATACATGGTATCTTCAGTTTTATTTTGATTGCAGCTCTGACTCTGAACTAAAGCTGTTGCATGGCGTGGGAAGCAAAGCAGCAAAGTGACTAATAATGGTGTCATTATTACACCAATAATGGAGCATCGAAATATGTTATAAAATAGGGGAGTTAGATTTTGGGGATGTTATAAAATAGGGGAGTTAGATTTTGGGTGAAATCTGAGGGGAGGAGAGTGAGGCAGAGAGAAAGAGAGCATCTGTGAGAGAAATTCAAAAGGGAAAAAAAGTTCGATCGAAAGAAGAAAGAATTTGTATTTGAGTGGTATGAAAAGCGATTTGATAAATTTAGTGTAAATTTTATTGTTTTATTTTTTATTTTTATTTGAAATATAAATTAATTAAATTATTTATTTTGATTTTAAATATTAAACAGTATTAGAGTGGTTTGGTAAGTTTAATTTAAATTTTCGTGTAATTTTTGTTTTTAATTTAAATTATAATTATTAGATTATTTATTTTGATTTTACATATTAAGTTGTATTTGAGTAAAACTTGGTAAATTTAGTTTAAATTATTTTTTTTTATTTTTTTATTGAGTAATATAAATTATTAGATTGATTATTTTTATTTTACTGATTAAATCGTATTTGAGTGGTTTGGTAAGTTTAGTTTAATTTTTTTTGTTTTTTTTTGTTTTTATTATGAATATAAATTAATTAGAATATTTTTTATTTTTAGTTTTTTTATTCAGTAATATAAATTATTAGACTAATTATTTTTATTTTACATATTAAATCGTATTTGAGTAGTTTGATAAGTTTAGTTCAAATTTTATTGTTTTGTTTTTTGTTTTTATTGTAAATATAAATTAATTAGATTATTTATTTTGATTTAATATATTTTTTTGTTTAAATTTTCTTTAATTATGAATAATATTATAAATTGAGATATTTAATTTTTTTTATAGATTTGTTGAAACATGACAAAATAAAATGTTCTTTTGAGACTAGATGATCGACATATTTCTAGTCATTTGGGAGCACTGGTATTGTTATTGAATAATATATTTTATTTGATAACGATGAATTAGTTCTACTTTCATGAATTAATAAATTACAGAATGACGAACAAAGAATCCTTTGTAGTCGAGTGAACATTTGTGATAAGCCACATGATCTTATTGTCCAAAAGTTGCAAATGGTGTGCTTTTACGATTTAACATTTGTAAGAGAATATAAGTTGGTCCCCTGTTTAATCAGTGCATTAATTGAACGGTGGAGACCAGAAACTCATATATTTCATCTTCCATGTGGTGAATGTACGATCACTTTGGAGGATGTTTCTTTACAACTCGGGATCCCTACAAATGGAATGACATTGGTGGGAAAAATGATCAGGACGTGTTTGAAATGTGCAGGGCGTACCTTGGGAAGGTGCCAGAAAAAAAAATAGTTACAAAAAGGTCATGTTTGAGGTTATCATGGTTGGTGAATGAGTTTAAACTTGGTCGTTATAGTTCTGAGCAAGACATTATATATACAACTCGAACATATATATTACAGTTGATCGGGGGAGTCTTGATGCCAGATAAATCTGGTAATCTTGTTCATATACAATATTTTTCCGTTTTTGGGTAACTTTTTGAATGTTCGTTAGTCTAGTTGGGGATCGACAATATTGACATTCTTGTATCGCGAGATGTGCAAGGCGTCATTACTTGTAAATAATACGTGTGCGATGGAAATCGATGGATGTCTGATGTTATTACAATCGTGGGCATGACACAAACTTCTATGGTTAACACCGATTAATCGAGCTGCAGTTGACTTTCCTCTTGTTGGAAGATAATATTTTGACTTAAAATATTTGATCTTAAATTAATTAATGAATTTTTTATTGGAAAAATAATTAGCAAATTTTATTTTGATTGGTATACACATAGATGCATAAACTAGAAGGAATGGGTTGGTACACAATAATGTGAAAGTGTTTAGATTTAAGATGGACATTAAATGCAAAGTTGATGTATATAATTAATTTATTTAGTTTCTTATATTGTTTATTTATTTAGTTGAATTCTAGTATTATTTAATTAATAATTATATAATTTTCTTTTATAGTTTATATGGAGGTCGTACGATGATGGAGAAATTATATCGTGTGTGATGCAACATGTCTGGTAGGCTGTTAATATTTGTGTGTTGTTACACCATTGATCCATTTCGGTTTTGTTTAGTTCCAATTTTTTGATAGAGTGTTGAGGTAGTTCGGCTTCCACCAACCTATTCCGCGAATTTCAAATAATCATGATGCTATCCACATATTAGATGGGCGGGGTAGGCACGACTAGGATTGGGTTGTGAGGCATGCCAACTATATCAATATTTGGAATAACATGGCTTCATACTTGCCAACTCTCACTCCCATTCAAGCAGATGACTTTGACTTCCAGAATTCGGATTATCTTAATTATTATTGAGAATATGGAAAGTTATTATTGACAACTAACATAGAAACACGACAATTTATATAATATAAGAAAATTTTGGTAAATTTGAAAAACCAAGACGGAGTGGGAGTTCATCTCACTATGAAGCAGAACAAGCGGCAATGAATAATATCACATCAGAATCTTTTGGCGGTACATGATCATTTCATCAAATGTTTGGTGATTCTGGTGTTACGACCTACACTCCTCAGCTTATTCCTCATCAATCACCCATGTTCTCTACCATGTTTGGAGCAACATATGATTTTGATCAGATGACATCTATGATTTCAAATATGAGTATACGTCCTCAGGTAGGAGAACAAAGTGGTGGTGGACATGTATTTACAACACCGGGTCATATGCCCTCGGTGAATGAGCAGGTTGGTTATGATGAACAAACTCTTGAACAATCGCAACAGCCACAAAGAAACTGACATGAGCCTCGACATTATTATTCAACAACACCTCAATACCGACAGGATTTGTAAACACTTCCTTGATTTGTTGTATTTTTATTAATATTAAATAAAATAATGATATTATTCACATAGAAATATCGATATTAATCATATTCATTCAAACATAACATCAACAAATATCCATCACATTCATTCAAATTTAACATCAACAAGTAGGCCATAAATTCAATTATTCGTTCAAATAGAAATAATATTATTGTTGAGCCCTGTACCGTGGTAGGTTTGGACAAATTTTTTTGAATGACCTTCACCTCTACATAATCCACATCTCTTCGATTGATCTTTCTCTCTAATATGGATATCCATATTGGTATGAATACGAGTGGACTCAGGTCGACCCGTTGGACTTCTACGAAGCATTGGATTTGGCAACCATTCATCATGATTTTTTTCAGCAATATGATTCATTTGGGATCTGTCTAAACTCGTGGATATAGACATTTAATATCCTCTGTAGGTGAAAGCACTCATCAACATAGGTGTATGAATTTATTACAGTATGTATACATGTAGCGACTGCTTGAGCACACGGATATCTCCATGCTTGAAAGCGACCACAATCACACCATCTTTGTCGTAAATTAACTTTAAATATTTCTCGCTCTGCTCCTTTATTGTGATGTATGCATGCGATGACAAAAAAAGTATGTCCAATTCGATCGAAGTCATGAACAAACATTGAGGTTGTTAATCACTCATTTGCTTCCATTGCTTCCACCATTGTCATAGCCCATATTTTACCTCGATTTATCATACACTCAATCTCTTTCCCTTTATCAGACCTAACTTTAGCCAACCTAAAGTGCATCTCTTTCACCACACTCGCTATTGGGAGATGAATTGTACCTTTTATTACTAAATTAATGGCCTCAGCAAGGTTTATTGTCATGTGTTCGTATCGCCGACCATCATCGTATACTTGCGACCACTTTTTTCGCTCGACTTTCGACACCCACTTCCAAACATGCTTGTCTGTGACTTTTAAATTCTCCAATCTTTTATCAAATTTGGTTGGTGTAGTTCATATCTTGTTTCATAATATATATTGTGTTAACGTCAATTTAGAAACAAACTTTAAATAAATGGATACACATGTTGAAAATAAAACCTACCCATGCTGATTATCTCACTACGAATGAGGCCCTTATGAGACTTCTCAATACAATTCTTACCAATATGGCGGATACAATATGTGGGATATGCGTGCAGAAGTGTCCAATGACTTCCCGGTCATTCAATTACTTCCAAAAGGCCTATTCCTCAATCAAATATCAAGTAAAATCCATATTCTCAGATGATATATTTACGTAGATTAGTTAAAAAGAAATCCCAAGCCTCTGTCGTCTCTCCTTCAACAATGGTAAATATAATCGGGAAGATATTTCATTGACCATCATGCGTAATTTCAATCAATAATATATGTTTATATTGACCGTATAACCACGTACCATCTACATGGAACATACGTTTGCAAAAATGAAAAACCTTCTATGCATGACTTGAATGCCCAAATGAGTCTATGGAATGTTCTCTTCCCTTGAATAAGTTGACCTTCTAGGTTGTATGCAGGCACGGTCTGAGACTTCACGATGGTTCCAGGTATAAATCATTTCATATCTTGTAACAAATCATGTAGGTCATTGTATGATGTATTCCAATCGCTATATAAACACCTCTTTTCCTTATCCTTCACATGCCAAATCGATTAATATTTTACAATGTATCTGAACTGGTCTTGAATAGATGCAGCTAACACTGAGAAAGAAATCCTTGGATTTTGTTCAACCAACACCTTTACATATTGACATATTACATCGGAGTCCAATATCCGGTGGTCTTGTTCGATAGAGTTTTGCAAACATGTGTGTG